TTTTTTTGTTTTAGTATTTTGAAGTTGACCAATTGTTACTATAAGCAATTAATGATTATAGATGATCTGCACCGTAAGTGAATTTATTTTAATAGTATGTTTTTTTACCCATAATCCTGAGCCGATTCGGAAATTAAATTTGACAGGTAGAAAATAGATATATACTTTCTTAATAAAATAAACAATTATAGATTATACTAACATTTTTTATTATGCACAAACGTGATACTTCATAACAAGGTTTTGTGTCAGCAGGTGATGAAGTTACGTGATAAAAATTATTTTATTATAAAATTGAGAAATTTTGCCCAGATCTGCATTATGTAATTTCTTTCTGTTTCTGGTGAATTGCGAATTAAGAGTTATTTTGATTTTTGTAATCTTGTGAATATATTTTGAGTAAATTTTAGTGTTACACCTAAATTTTATAATTTCTATATAGTACTAGCCAAACAAACAATTTACAGCTGTTAAAAATATTATTATACAATTTCCCATAACTTCTTTATTTATAATAATAATTATTCTAATCAAACTTGTGATTTGTTATTATATCTTGAACTGCTAGTAAAGTAGTTTTTAAAATTTTTTTGTGGCACCAAAAAAATAATAATAAATCCACAAAACCCCTAAAAAATCCTTATTAATGAAAATTTATATATGTGATTGACTATGTTTGTAAATCATATGATGTGGGACACCCCAACCACATGTGCATTATGAATTAGTCTTTTTCTTTTATTGGGCTTCAACATTTTATTTATTTAAACCTGAATATTTTATTTTTTACGATTCTTATGTTTCTTATTATTAAGAAAAGACTTTACGTTTTCCTTAAAAGGAAATGATTATCAAAAAAAAATTTTGAAAATTATTTTTATTAATAAAATTGCACAACTTTGAATTCTTATAAATCCTTGTTCTACTAATAATTTTTAAAAAAACTCTCTGTCAGGCTATTCTTTGAATCACAGAGAAAAAACTATGGAAATTTTTTTACTCTCCTTATTTGGTTATTGGACCTATACGTTTCAAAGTTTTAACAGTATTTTTAACATTTTGGATGATTTTACTAATAAAATTAAAAAAAACTCTCTGTCACCATGTTCAGCATCACATTTATTACAATTTTTCTTAATTTCATACTTGTATCTTTTTTTTTGAAGGAGAAGATGCAATTTTTATTTTTATATTCATTGAAAAAAAGTTAATTAGTAAATTTTATATATGATGTCAATTAGTTTTGATCTATATACATAGTCTATTGTACAACCCAATGAGTTATCTCTAATTAGGGATGAGTTTTGTTTTTTGAAGAATTTTAAAAGAAGATTTTATTCAAAAACACTTTCAATAACTACTATACAGCAGAATACACATATAGAATAACACAGGAGTTATTTGAATGCATCTCATGTAGCTTCACCTTTAAGACAATTATTGATTTTGGAAAAGTCAAATTTTGATCTGGATTATACATGGGATGGTAATTACCTAATTACCGTAAATGCATAATTTGTAATTAACATAATTAATTACCACTTTCACTCTTTAAAAATGTAATTACGAAATTAATTACGGGTGACAGGTGATGAAATTAATTAGGGGTGACGAATTAATTACTATTGTGAAATTTTCTATGCAAACTGTTGTTAACACTACACTGATTAACAAATGTCAAAACTTTTGCTTTATACCAAAGCAAATAAACAAAACTTCAGTTCTATGCCAACAACCAAATGGACAATTAAACACACTGTTTAATTTCTGACTACAAAAGTGTTTTTATAAGCAAAACAATGAATGTATTTATTTTTACGAGTTAAATTAATGATAATAAATAAATTATTTCTGCCTTTACTTATTAGCAAAGCTCTGAAATTTAATCAATTAACCTGTTGTTTTTTTGGGTTAAAATCATTTCACTAATTTATATGTAAAATCATTCATTCATTAAATGTCAAAATTAAATTTAATTTTTTAAAAAACCAAATTGAAATAATCTCTCATCTATACATATTGTCAAAATTAATTTGGCTTTGACCCAATTCCAAAATCTCAATTTTTAATTGTGTCTTGACTCAATTATTTATATGTTTCCATATGACTCAATTAATTGCATCAAAGAGTCACCTGATTGAGTCAAGTGATATTCTGCCACATGTATAATCAATCTCATCTATTTTGATTATCTCAAAGTTTTACAAAATTTAATCTAGTCAATGTTGAACCAAAAAGTTTAAGGACAAAAAATGAGTAATTCAGGTGAATTAGACGTAATTAATGAAACAAAAAAATGATCTGGTTGACCAAGGGAAGAAGTTTGGGAATATTTTGAAGAAAAAGGAGAAAGAATAAGAGGTCATTGTGGTGGAGTGTGCAAGTTTTGTGGGTGGGAGAAAAGATTAGCACAACCTAATGATATGAGAGAACATCTTGCTTTTTATTGTAAAGAAGTACCTTACGAAACAAGAAAACATTATTTAGAAGTTATAAAAAATTATTCAATTTTAAGTAAGAAACAAAAAATTAACCAACAACCAAAAATTTATGAAAAATTTGAATCAACAAAAATTGACTCTGCTAAAATAGATACCTGCATACTACTCAATTGAAAGTTGGTGGAGATTAATAGAACAAAATGAAAAGAACTTGCTCTGAAAATTTTATTAATAACTCCAACAAATACAGGTTGTGAGAGAGTATTTTCAGTTCTTGGGTGGTACATGAATAAAAGAAGGACAAGGTTATTTGTTAAATATTTCCAACTTATCAATATTATAGAAATTAGTATAAAATTTAATACTAAATAATATTATTAGGTTGAGTGTGGAACAATTACAAAGCCTTTCTAAACTCCATGCTTATTATGTCTCAAATACCAAAACTGAGCTGAAATTTGCAGCTCAAAATATGAATGATGATGATATTTATAATGCTATGCAAAATATTTTTTTTGATGAAGTTGAATTAGATGAAATTGGTGAAGAATTGGAAAATAATTTGATTGACCAAATCTGGAGATAATTGAGTACGTTTTGCAGAAATATGGTTGCCAGCTTCTGAAAACAACCTCTCGCTAGGTACAGAGGTTGCAGGAATTGATAAATATTTTTGAGCAAGTTGAGATAGAATTGGAAAATTGCCTTTATTTGCATCCCACCATTTTAAAGGATCCTCCATAATATCAATCTGCCGAAGTTTCACATAACTCAATACTTCATCATCATCATTCTCAACTTCAAATGAACTTAGATCAATTTCCAAGGTTTCAAAAAAATCATCATTGTCATCTTCATTAGTTGTATGTAAATTGTGAATAGTTGTTGTTTGTTGAATATTATTAGATTCAAAATCCACTTTTGTAAAATCATATAATTCCCGTAATAATTGATGTGATTTGTCTCTTTCCTCACCACTTCTATCCCATTGGAAATTTTTGAATCGGGGATCAAGTACTGTTGCAATTTGAACTAATTCTGTTGGAACTGACCATAATTCATCTAATGATAAAAAAATAGCTGCTTGAACTTTTTGAAGAAGGCCAGTAGTATTAACAGCTGGTAAATATTCAACATGATTAATATCATCTATGTCATCTATTGCACCTCTAATTCCTATACCATGACCTCTTCCCCTCTAGTAATTCGCATCCTTTGTTGAAATTGACGATGGGAATATTGCCAATGTTGTCGTGAACCACCAGATGGGATTTCATCATCATCACTGGTTGAACTGTCAGATTCTTCTTCATTGTCATTATTATCTTCAGTTTGTGGCCCATAAATGAGATCAAGGTATGTATCAAGACTTTCTCCATTTTCAGACTTAGGTGCAAATGTCTTTTTCAACAATTCCATATAAGGGTTAACAAGACTTAAAGTAACATATTTAGCTCCACAAAATCGGCGAGTTACTTTTTCAAATGGTGATAAAAGGTTTACCATATCTTGAATAAATCTTATCAAAAAAAAATAATATATATTAAATGATAGCACTACACAGTGAAACTCGATTTAACGGATAAGTTTGGCCCAAGAAATTTATCTGTTATATCGAAATATCCGTAAAATGAGAAATTTGGAATTAGCGGATTTTATAATGAAAATCATGTGACATCAGTTAAATTTAAAAAAAATTAACAAATTTTACAATATATAAAATATGTAAATAATAAAATAATAATATATATAAATAACAAAAAAAAATTAAATTTATTTTATTCTAGCATATAGTATTCTTCAATTCTTGTTTGTACTCTTTCTTGAGAATTTTTGTAAGAAGTTTCCTTCTTTAATTTATTGACATTTCTAATTACTTGGAATCAATTTCCAATTTTTTTTTGTTGTACATATATGAGTGCAGTTTCCGAACCTTTTATAGCTTCTGTGCTTGTTTTTTTTTAAAAAAAATTGATAAAATTTTTTTTTTGATTATAGACAAAGGTGGATATTTTTTATTTTTACAAATCATTATACAAGCCATAAATTTTAATTTTACAAATAATAAGTTTATTTTACATTTAATTATTTTTAATTATAATAATAAGCTATTGTTTCTGTTTTTTCAAAAATATTAACACTTTAAAATCATAATTTTTTATTTATTTATTTTATTATCATATGTTATTTTTTTTAAATTTTCAAAAGTAATGATCATCATTATCCGTTATATCGAAATAAATTTGTTAATGTACGACATGAGAAGGTTTAAAAAAATATCCAGTATACCGAATATATATAAAAATCCGCTAAATCCGTTAAATCAAGATAAAATAACTATAAAAAAATTTTGTTCCGAAATTTTATCCGTTAAACCCTTAAATCCGCTAAATCAAAATCCGCTGAATTGAGTTTCACTGTGTATATAAAACTATAAATTATTTTTTTAAACTTACTGTTTTTCATCAAGAGATAAACATAGTCGTTCTAATTTCTCTCCTTCTTTCTGTGATGCTCGATCTGGTTTTGTCAACAATGTGGTAGAAATGAGTCGCATTGAATTGTGTAATTCTAATATTCTCTTCCATGCATAGTATGTCGAATTCCATCTTGTTTTAACATCAGTTAAAACATCAAGAGGGTTACTATAATCATTTTCCTCCAGTAATTGCTGATTGCTTTGTTGGGCTTCCCGAAGTCTCTGAGCTTGTTTTGGTAAACGAAAAAATGCCTGTAAACACTTTACTCGACGATGTATTGATTTACACTGCTTCAGACCTTGTAGAACTGAAAGTTGTAATGTGTGAGCAGCACAAGGTTGCCGTTTTATTTGTGATAAGTATTTCTCACCTAATAGTCGAACACCCTTTATCATATTAGAACCAGCATAGTGGACATTCGTTTTATCACATGTGACAAAATCGATCATTGATCTTTTTTATGTTGTGAAACATATGACTTCAATTGAATTTAGAATGGAAAAAAGTCGCGTGACTGCGCACAAA